GGCGCTGGTTAATTTACAATAGTTAATTTTGGCTTTGCACGGTTCTAGATGATTTAAAGGAAAAGTAGAAACTTTACAACATAAATTATTGGTGGCTCAAAATGGGATGGTTTCGGTTAGAGATTTCTTGTAAAGTACATTGTTAGGTGTGTCAAAGATTTTGAAGAACATTGGATTTTTTCAACATTTCCTTTGCAACATTTTTCCTGGGATAGAATTAAATAGTTAATAATTATATTGCAGGAATGTGTTGATGGGAGAGAAAACAATGTGTGAGGAACTGAGTGTACTTGAGGGATATAAAATTGGTCATTCTTTTCATGGCTGTCTGTGTTCTGCATGCAAATTGGCCGCCCCATTCGCCTACAAAATCTACAGTCACTACGCTTTAAATCGCTTTGAGACGTCTTTACATCATTTGTAAGACATGTAGGATTATTATTACTATTCCATTGTATGGCACTAGAGGAGGAGGGAGTGGTGATAATAATAACAATAATATAGTGCCTTATCATGTCGTTGGGATGTCTCAAAGCGCTTCACTGAATATATTGTAAAGTGAATTGAATGTTTATATTGCATGGGTGAAACTAAAGCAAATAAAGGGTTTTATTTTATTGTATGGGGTTGGTGGAGTCCTGTAGCTCAGTGGTTAGAGCACTCGCTTTGCAAGTGAGAGACCTGAGTTCAATTCCAGGCAGAGGGCGAAACCTTGGGCAAGTTTCCTTACTCCACACAGAGCCTAATAATAATCCCTCCAAAACCAAAAACAATAATGAATTGGTCATTTTCAATCTACGACTGTTTGTGGGACATTGCTGTGCGCAATTGGCTGCCGCGTTCACCCACAAATATACAGTCAATTCACTTTACAGTGTGTTCTGTGAAGCGCTTTGGGACGTCCTCCCGACGTGAAAAGCGCTATATCAAATGCAAGGATTATTATTATTATTGGTAGTGGTAGAAAGGAAAAGCAATCAGGTTGATTGTTTCATCTGTAAGAAAACTTTTGTACAAAGAGGCAATGCCATCTTCTAAAATTGCGTGATCCTATCTACGAACTTATCTCTTTATCGACATGTTTATCCAAAATTGGGCAGCAACAAATTTAAAACTAATTCATCTACTAAATTTGGCAGTGCAATAAGTGGTTTTAACATAATATATAATAACCCTTGCATTTGATATAGCGCCTTATCATGTCTTTGAGACATCTCAAAGCGCTTCACAGAAAATACTGTAAAGTGAATTGACTGTATGTTTGTGGGTGAACGCGGCAGCCAATTGCGCACAGCAATGTCCCACAAACAGTCGCGGATTGAAGTGACCAATTTATTATTGTTTTTGGTTTTGGAGGGATTATTATTAGGCTCTGTGTGGAGTAAGGAAACTTGCCCAAGGTTTCGCCCTCTGCCTGGAATTGAACTCGGGTCTCTCACTTGCAAAGCGAGTGCTCTAACCACTGAGCTACAGGACTCCACAGGATTGTAGGGCTACATGAAGGGCGATATCTGCTGAGATTTTTTGTTGTTATTTAAGGCCGTGTTTAAGCTGCACAGTTGCCAAGATTTGCCACAAAGTGCAGTGTAAGTGGAATTGGATCCATCGCAAATCGCACTGAGGAGGTTTCAGGTCTTTTAGGACAGTGGTGCGCCATTGGAGCGGGATGGGGGGTTGCAGGCGGGGATTGGAGATAAATCTGCTATACATTTAACATCGCTACACTACTGGGGAGCAAAGTTGGCCTTATAAACGGGGCGTAAGTGCTACTTTCAGACAATCTGCCCCACGGTTTTGAGTTTGCCAGCAACAAGCAGCATTGCGTATTGAGATAAATCTGACAAAACTGGTCACTAAGTAAAATTGTCACATTTTATGCATTAAAAATGTGTCGGGCAGATTTTTTTTTCTGGTTTTTGCATGCAGTGGAGCACTGAAAATCCATTAAATTTAATCTGTAAAGGGTATTTTGTCTTAAAATCTAAGATCATTCGGAAGGTGCAATCTTCTTAAATCTTTTTTTTAAATTTGGAAGTCGGTTCTTTTTGAGAAATCATTTGAGTTTTCAAAGTAAAGACTGAATTTAAGAATTTTCCACAATTGAGCTCAGTCTTAAATGTTAAGAAAAGGTTTACCTGCAGACTTAAAACCGGGTGGAATTTCAGGTCTATTGTGGTTTTAAATAAAATTATTGTTCGCGAGATATAGGTGAGGCATTAACCTCTGAATGTGAAACAAACTGTAATCCACATTTGTCACATTTGTCCACAAAATATACAGTCAATTCACTTTACAGTATATTCTGTGAAGCGCTTGAGATGTCTCGAAGACGGGATAAGGCGCTATATCAAATGCAAGGATTATTATTATTATTATCCACATCTGTCAATTTTTAGTCAAGTTTGAGTCTTGACGGATGTCAACTGTTCATGAAATCCCACAAAAACAGTTGACAACATACTGACTACATCCATGTAGGCGTGAAGAAAAACATTTCATATTTAATCCCATTGAAAAAGATAACATTAGTTGTGTAATCAGCTCGTTCACCTACAAAATACACAGTCACTGCAAATTACAGTAAATCCTGTGAACCTTACGTGCTCCCGAAAAGGTGCAATATGAAATGCAAGGATTATCATTATTATTATTAATTATTATTACAGTATTCTCACTTACTGATTAAATTCAGTGGTCCAGTGGCTGTTTTTATTATTTTATCCAGACAACAACATTTTCAATTGCGTTTCACAAAAATGATGTCGGGTTTCACTTTAGCAATGATTACAGTTTGCGCTGACGTTTACAAAGAAATAAGCACTCGTGAGCACGAAACACTTTGCGTATTTTAGATTTAAAAAAAAGTCAATTACACAACGTTTTTGTACTTGGGACCGAAATGGTTGCTTCACCCGTGTCTTTTTCACAGTCTTGTTATAATAACCTCGCACGAAGTAAAAGAAATATAATGATAATAATTTGTCGGCTCAATCCACGCCTGTTTGTGGGGCATTACTGTGCGCAATTGGCTGCCGCGTTTCGCCCACAAATTACCCAGTCCATTCATTTCACAGTATGCTCCGTGAAGCGCTTTGAGACTCCCCGAAGACGTGATAAGGCGACGAATCAAACGGCCGGATGATCATTTATTTTACTAATTGATACGGCAATTTAATATTAGTAAATGAACCAGCGACTCCTTGCAGCTCCGTGTGTTTTTGTGCTGTTTGTAAAATGGCTGCTGCCTGCCCGGTCATTTGAAGCTTGACAGAATGAGACAGATGGCATCACGTCTCATTTTTCCGAGTGCATAGTCATTAGCAATATCTGCGGCCTTTAGGTTAGCCACATAGATTTGCACTGCAACTTCCAGTGGGAGAAGCGTGATTCAACCCCTTGTTCATTTACAAACTTGTGCTTGTCGCTTCACACGGTTAATTAAAATACTATTCGGAACAGTACAGCACTGGCAACACTACAGGTGCATGAGCACAAGCGCGGGGGGCTATGGCAGAATCTGACCGAAACCATTTTTCCCCCAGCGGAGCATAATTCCGACGCTTTCTGTGAGTATATTCAAATGCTAATCGTAATTGCTAATCAGCGAGTGTTGAGACAATTGTTTCCGAGCAAAAGTTAGGCACGTTTCCAACACTCCGTCGCGAATGACTGACTTGGAATCGGAGAGAGAGAACGAGAGAGAGAGAGAGAGTGGTGGGGGGGGGGGGGGAGGGGGGGGAAAGAGAGGTGTGGGTGGAGGGGAAAAGGGGGGAAGCGGACGGGTAGGTAAAGAAAGAGAGGTTTAAAAGAGGGGAAAGTTTGCGACGAAGCTGGCTGGAATCATTGGCATTTCTGCGCGAGTCTTTCGTCGAGTATTTTGATGGTGTGAAGTAAGGCTGTAGTAAAAGGCGCGTCAGACTGTTTGAGTGTGATGTATTCATTTTGCAGTTGGATGTTGCAGCCTGTATTGCAGAGCTTATGACCTGCTTTCACATGCAGCAGATTCTCCCATAAATTCTGATTCATATCCAGCAGCTGATTCCCGGGGTCTTTTGCTCGATACCTTCTTTTATTCGCTTTGTCTCAACAAAAAAAAAATTTTTTTTTTCTTTTCCCCTTTTTTTTTTTTTGTGTGCGCGCGTGTGTCGTCTCGAGCTGAATAAACTTCGCGAAGCTGATGCCTGCCCGATCTGTGAGGTAATTTAGCGCTAATTAATTAGTGACGGTCGCAGAGTGCAGAGGAATTTCGCCACGGACTCTTTTGTTTCGTCCACTTTTTTTTTGGTGAGTGTGTGTGAGCGAGCGTATGTGTGTGTGTGTGAGTGTGTGTGAGTGTATGACCGCAGGATTTTCATACTGTTACCCTGAGCTGGTGATTCTAAATTCCTTCTCGCTCCGAGCACGAGCCAAGGATGCAAGAAAAATGCGAAAGTGCATTCGCTTCACCAGCCTACGCATGATTTTTTTTTCGCCCTCTTCTAATTTTCCCACCCTTTGTTAATTGTTTTCACCGTCTGAGTGAGCGAGCGAGAGCAGTTTTTCTTTCTTGGTGGTGGTGGGGGGGGGGGGGGGGTTGTTTTTTTTTTTTGCGCAGCGTTCAGCTGTTTCCACATTTTCACCTCAAGGCCCTATCTTCGGCTATTCAGCCGAGCGGCAGGCAGGCGAACAGGACAGGCACATTGCCAAGTGTGTACAATGAAGAATGGTCGTATGCAGATTCGCCCTTGTCTTCATTAATGGCAGCTGCGGGAAAGGGGGGGAGAAAAAAATCACGAGCTGATTACTGATTACTTAGAACTGCAAAGCGTGGGAAAATCACAGACTGATGTAGCATTCCGACTTGTGTGTGCCATGAGCCTTGCATCCAACATGGCTGACAAGGTTGCTGTCTTCAGGGGATCTGGACGCAGTTCTGTGTGTAGCCGGATTTTGCACTGCTGCTTTTTTGTCGATTTAGTATCCGAGATCCATTAGGGTAGGAGCCCGATCACCGCCTTCATTACAACACGCTGTTGTATCGCCGTACCCTCTCAGTGATGCCGGCTGCTGGCGTACACTTCACTCCCCTGCTTTGCATGTGTAATGCGACTGCACTTAATGACTGTGAGTAATTATGCCAATCAAAGTTTGTCTGCCCTGTGATGTTGAAAGTTAGCCAGTGCCGGGGTTACTTGGCACAGCGACTGTTGTTAGGGAGAAGAGAGGCTCTCCTAGCAGCAGCCAGCTGAATTGTAATAAAAGAGTTGGCATCTTTCCAGATTCCACAGTATTGAGAGGTATGGTATATTGTGGAGAGGAAACGGGCTAATTAATCTTCCAGCAGGGAAGAGGGTAGCCTTTCGACAATTACAGAGCTGAAAGATAGATTAAAATTGAAATTGCCTGCCAAACGAAACCTCGGCGATTTCTCATGATAAAGCTGGCATATTTAATGCTTTGAGCTGCAAAGCGTGTTGTACTCACTTAGGTTAAAAAAGCAATCCCGATACTGGTTCATTGCAATTATTAATTTTATTTTTGTCCTCTGTGCTTGCGGTAGTTAAGGAGCAGACCATCAAAAAGACCCGTCTTTCCTTTAAAACAACGCACACAGATTCCCGTCTAACCCGGGACTGTATCACTACGGTAACAATCGCGGCGGTTAGAACCACAGAGAGGGTCTGGCGTGTGCAGCATAAGATGTCTTTGGCTTCTGCGTGAAAACTTTCTTTTTTTTTTACTTAAATAGGGATTGCTGACTGCACGTGCTCCACCAACGCGGGGATTTTTAAAGCGACCCTTGCGGATCCTTAAAGACGCTAATTGCCGGGCGGAATCATTTTTTTGGTCCCGTTCGAATCGCTCGTCAAACGTCGCGCGGCAGAAGTCACGTGCGGCGAAAGTGTACAGCAGAGGTTCTCGCAATACGTCATTCAGCTTTGATGGCGTTTGTTTGAGAGGTAGAGATTAGCTCTTCTTGCCCGTACACAGAGGCGAGTAGTACAGCACTACAGTAGGAGGGAAGAGAGACTGAATAGGGCAGTTGTGTTTGGTATGCCAATCAGTGGGGCTCTGCTGTGCCTTATGAGGCCCAAGGAGATGAACAGTCTGACTACATCATGTTGATGCATAGAGTGGAGCAAGTTAATTAGTCTGCTCTCGACTTCCAAGTGCAGAAATGCGCCACCCCAATTCAACAAAGCAATCTGTTAAAGCGGGTTATTGTTCTCGGTTTCAAGTCTGCCCCACACGGTTCATATTTCCACGCTTGATGCAGGCGCCAGATGTTTGTGTTTCGCCGCTAATTAATTTGCACACGCAGTAGTGCTTTTTCAAGTCGTACCTTGTGTTTTTCCTAAACAAATGCCGTTTGTGTCAGAGTTTGGATCGGATCCAGCCTGTTGTGATCATTAATGCTCAAAGGCACAGAGTTTGTTGGCAACTCGCTTGAAATATAATTACGGCGAGGCAGAAATTGTAGGTTAATCTCCTTCCTTAATGTTTTCCCCTCGATCTTCGTAATCTACTTTGTTGTGGAAATACAAGGGCTGTTTTTTAACGCAGATGTAGCCAATGTAGAAAATGGCGCCTGTTCACGAGGGAGGTCTTTTGTATTCTTTTGTCTGCGGATTTCCTGGGCAGTTATATTATTCTTGAATCCGTGTCTCTGATTTCTTTGCAGAGCAAAACGCTATTTATTGTGTTTGTACCGAATGCTGTTTTTGTGAGAAAATCGTCTTAAACAGCTCTCCAGTCGAACGGACTGTTTTGATGTAGTTGGCACGAAAGGCAATTCAAAGGCAGGCATAAAGTGCACAGTTTCTGCAGCTTAGGAACAGCAGAATTCAAGTCTTTCGTCTCTTTTGTGAAGCGACCTGAGCTACTATCCTATGTGAAGGACGCTATATAAACACAAGTTGTTGTTCAGTGGCGTGTGTCTCAGGGATAACATTTAAACTCTTATTAAACTCATTTATCAGTCACTTATAGCAATGTCTATCTTCTGTTTGCGGCTTCCTACAAATGTGGATACACTCCTGGAAAAATGAGCGATCTCTGGTAAAGATCAGCTCTGATTTCTGTGATCTGACAGGTGCTTATTATGATAAGAAGCCCACTGATGAAATGAGATGCTCTAATTAACAAGCATCACTGCAGATATCAGTCGCACTCTGCAGCTCATTCACTTAGCAAAGTGGATCAAGTCAACAGCAGTGGGTCTCTATTACGCACCATGCGTAAACCATGTGCAAATGTAGGTGCGTTACGATCTAAGTGTAAATATGCGCGGATGAAGACTTTCTAATCTTAGCCTCCAAATGAATTCTTACTTAAAATGTACCGTTGAGCAGAACTGTAGGAGATTTTAAAATTTAGTTGTAATTCATTTGTTTTTTTGCAAAAATAAATTGAGCCTTGAAATTCAGACTTGATGGAATAATTTTCCACGATTCTGCCCTGTCCTAAGTTTGAATTCAAAATAGTCTTGCGGGCTAAGAAGAGGTGGGATTTGGGGTCTTTTGTGTTGTATAATAAGAAAATGTTTAGGAGATAGCATTAACCCCTGAATGTGGGAAAAAGAAATGTTGTGGTTTATGCTATTTTCCAGCTACAGGCACGTGTAGGGGAATCATTCAGTCCTTGGTGTATCGATAATACAGAAGCCTTTTGATGAAAACACCTGTGTTATTTTTTAAGATTGATGTGTAAGTTGCGACACCAAAAGAATAGCGCATTCGAGCGCTATTTTATTGATTGAGTTGATGTAGAGTCGGACCCTGTTATAACTCGCCCCCATCTAGTGCGTTTAATGCATTTACAGTAGAGTACAACAACAACAGCTTGCATTTATATAGCACCCTTCAAGCATGTTAGCATCTACGCGTGGTAAACAGTGGCAGAGCTTGATGCCAAGCAGGAGCGGTAACTATAGATATGTCGAAGAGGAAGATATTAAGGCCAGATCTGAGAATGGCGAAGGAGGGGGCCAAGGCGGAGGGGCTGAGGGAGACAGTTCCAGAGTTTCAGGGCGTAACGGCTAAAAGCGCGGCTGCTGATAGTGGAATAGAGGGGACGAGAGATGTGCAGGCGGCGCTGACTGACTGGCTTCCCGCACGTAGCAACTCGGTTCAGGAAGCCACCTGCTGTCTTGTAGTGTCCCAGAAAACTCTGGAACGATTTGTGGGAATGGTCGGCAGCTTGGTGCAGAGCTGCACAGCGCTCAGGAAGTGAGGCCAGCTTGCTCAGCGTCACTGTCGAGCGCTCCGGGACGCTACCCTGTATAAATGCAAGTTGTTGTTGTCTCTGGGTCTCCAGACAGAGGCCACTGAGGGCGATGAGCATTTTTGCTTTTAAACTAAGGGTACTGTCAATGCAGACCAACTTGGTTACTTATCAATGCTCAACCATAACGTGCAAAAGAATTTACTTTCTGCATTAAAATGTAATAGAACATGGAACGTACACGGGGACACATTCCACCTGGGACCAGATTTCCTCCCTTTTTGGAGCATCCAGAATTTGGCCAATCCTTAAATGGCGCTTTAATTTTGAAACCGTTTTTTCTGCAAGTTGTTTCAACAACTTCCCGAAAACCTGAGAATGATTTCTTCGTATCACTATTAGCGATACACTGTCAAGGCTGAGCATTTATTGGTAGATTAGTGCAAACATGGTATCAAATTTGCAGTGTTTAACAATATACCGACGTTAATTATCGCCAACAAATAGTTATGAAATGCCGCCAATTTTTCCCAATATTATATGCAGTGGAATGAACGCGTGAGGGTCTGAACGTGTGACCTTAGTAACATAAATATGTTCCCCTTTTATTGTCAATCGTGAAATGCATGCAATTTCTCCTTTACTGCAATGCAAAGGTTCATTCACCTGCAAAACACAGTCGCTAAACTTAAGAGTAAATGCTGGGAAGAACTTTCCGAAGTCCTTTTGAACCGAAAGGCACGAGATATCAAAAGTAAGGATTATTGTTAGTATTATTATTACCAACGTTCCCTCCAAAATTGAAATTTGGATTTCAGGAAAGCTTTTAGCTTCCCTCTGAGTTGGGTAATATAGTACAAGTTTTGACCGAGCACAGGTTAAAGCCTCGGGCTCACAGGATTTTCTGATTCGGTATTAAATACAAATTGCCCTCCCTTATCCCGTTTTGACTACATGCACATCAGGGCACCTTTTATTCTCTCGGCCGCCTCCTCACCTAACTTGAAAGATTCAACGGTTTTCATCCCTTTACAGATCGGGGAGAGATGCCCTCAAACCCTCCTCGTACCGATCCATATCCTCATTAAACACCGGCTTTGGCACAAGGGAATACTTTCCAGGTCGATTAAACCTGATCAAACAGGATTTTTTTTTCACACAAAAAAAAGAACTTATTAAGCAAATTTGCCCACTTGAAATCGATGGATTGGCATCTCGCTGATCCTCCCCGATGCTGAAAGGATTTTTAATCATGTGCAATGCTGGTTCCTCTCTGCCGTCTTGGCCAGGTTCAAGCTGGAAGGTGCATTCCAGAAACACGGCTAACTCTTGCACTCTCCTCCTTCCAAAGGCCATACTCACAAGTTCGATGGCTCAGGTTATTACTCAGAACGGTTTTACTGAAGCTTTGGGGGATTGTTACTCCCAGATCATTTTTCCGGGGGTAATAATCCTTTCAATTTAGTAATATCCCAATAATTTGGTCAGTCAATCCAAGACTGTTTGTGGGACGCTGCTGTGCGCAATTGGCTGTTGCGTTTCGCCCACAAAATATACAGTCAATCCACGTTACAGGATATTCTGTGAAGCGCTTTGAGACGTCTTGAAGTCGCGATAAGGCGCTATATCAAATGCAAGGATTATTATTATTATAATAATGTTTTAAGAGAACAGAAGTTTCACAGATAATTCTCATTTTAGCAACTTAGGACCACGAGGAGACCATGAGGGTTCAGCCCATCAAGAAGTCACTGACAGTTTATTTGACCACAGCAGATTTTTCTACCCCACGTCCCTCCTTTCCCCCATACTCCTTCCCAAAGTTTAACCTTAACCTTGGATCGTTAATCAGCCGCCGTCTACTCCAAAGCAAGTCTCTCCTTCATAAACCCCAGCCTGCA